TAGTATGTCGGTATTTCAGATCACGAGCGACGATATCCCTCGTCTGTGACTTCAATTACTTTAATCTTAAATTTAATTACAATATATATATGTATATATGTATATATAATAGTACTGTATTGCACATCCAGTACTCATATATATTGCAATGTGCTTTTTCATAAATAGGAAATAATGATAAACTCTGTTGATAAATCGAAAATTACAAGAATACCAACAGCCGAATGCATCTGTTTTGTCAGTAAATCTGGATCTTGATCTAGACTCTGTCAATAATGACACTTAGATTACTCATCATCATCATCTTCTTCTTCTTCTTCTTCTTCCTCTTCTTCCACTGCCACTTCTTCCTCCTCTCCTATAGGTATAAATTTCTGTTACATAATGCAAAAAAAAAAAGATAAAGTCTTCCTATAATTAGTTCTATTGATTTTACCCATTGGTATAATTGGCTCAGGCGGCAATTGAGAAATTCTGTAGGCCTCCTCTTGTTCGAAGGTGGGATCTTGAATTTCCATAATCTCTGGACCGATCTTGTACTGATCTTGCACAGGTGGCATGAACGGTGGACTGTAATTGTACGCGATGTATTTGTGACCCCAGCCGATGTACACGTTAGCGAAACGCCTGTGGAGGGCACCATTAAAGTAACATTAGCGTAATTTCCCGCCCATTAATTTTCCTTTAACGCGCCATAATTCCTATTTTCCCGGTTGATTCGTCCCACGATAAAACCGTCCCCTCGCAGCCGAGCTTGCCGCGCTGTTTCTTCGATATCCCAAGGGGAATTTATACTTGTCGGCCACATAAATATCACAGATACGTCTGCTTAATGGAAAATCATTATTGGACAGAGGGCTAGTGTGCACGCACTTTCCACAGGCAAACGCGAACGCTCCAGGCCAAACGTTTGATCTAATTAATGCGACTGCTTGATCAGGTTGGGTGCGAGACGATTGCAAAGCTCTCCACGGTGTTATGCCGTCCACAATAGCGTCTTCTGACAACGGTGTCAAAAGTGGTGGTCCAACCTCTTTCTCAAGTCGAGCTTTTGCCTCTTCCTCCTCTTCTTCATCCATTTCTTCTTCCTCTCCGAGTTCCTAAATTCAATAGTAATATTTTAAGTTGTAAGTCCGTGATAGATATTTTCTTTTATTTTATTTAGAACTTCAGGCGTTGAAGAATGAGATATGGATAATTTATTTTTAATTAATATAAACCAACATCTTCTGCTTTTCCACTTGGATCCCACCATACGATACGGCCTTGTTTCAAAAGGTACGGTGCATGATGACACCAGTTCGACATGGAAGGGTCTATTAAATCCTTAATAGGCAAAGGATCGTAATGTACGTTCTCGGACAACACTCCACCTATAACCGTAACAAATGACGTGTAAGGAACATTGTCTTCAAGGTGGAAAAATTCTTGTTTTATGATTAATAAAACGAGTCTTTAAAGTGCTTCGAAGAAATTACGTGATAAATAAAACAGCAACGAGCCATTCGAATAATTTATAGCGTTGATCTTTCTTCTTTGATTTTTCCTCGAGATAGACGCGTAACGCTATATATATATATATATA